CCCCCCAACCCATGTGAATGTGGTCCCCCATTTGAATGAGTGGAGGATAATATGTCACCTCACAACTAAGCACAAAAACTTGTACTTAGTTCCAAGTTCCTCCATATTTCTACACACACACATATACATATATATACATATACATATATACATATATATATGTATATATGTGTGTGTGTGCGCGCGCGCGTGTGTGTGTATGTATATGTATACACACACACATGTATATAAATGTATGTATATGTATGTATATTTATGTATATATACATATCTATATGTATGTGTGTGTATATAGAGAGAGAAAAATAGAGAAACTTGGTACCAAGCTACTCCATCAAACTTAATAGTGATGTGGACTGATCTGATCCCTACATTTACATTGAAGTAGGTGAAAAGTAATTGAGGCTCTATTTTCGAGTAGTGATGTAGGGGTCAGATCAATCTTTGGGAGAATTTTTTAAAACAGGAAATTTATTGTTTTAGTGGGTCAATTGTTAGTATAATTAAGGATAATTTTTAATAATCAATAAGCATATAAGTCATGTATTTTGATGATAAGACAACTAATGTTTTAAATCTTACTATGATTTCTACTAATAATTTACTTTTGTGTTAATTAATCTTGAAGAACTATTGGATAGATGATAAGATATTATTATTATTATTATTTATAACTTTTTTATATTTTTAGAATTATTATTGTAATACAATTAACAAACAAAGTTTTTCCTTTTTTTCTCTTTCCTTTTCTAACTGCTAGGCATCATTTTCTTAATTTTAATTAGATCTTAATAAAACATGAATTTTGTAATTTTTAAATTTAAATTAATCATACAATTCTAATATTCAGTAAAAAATGAAAAATAACATTAAATAGAAGGATAAGAAGAGATGTGATCTAACATTATGTTGTGGTTTGAAGATATAGAGAAATAAAATATGACAAATAAAAAAACAAATAAGAAAGTTCTAGTTTTTAACCATCTAGCTCTAGATTAAAACATAGAATAATTTGAGGGACTAGAACTCTCTTTTTTATATAAAAATTTGACAAAAGTGGGATAAATTTTTATCATTATCCCAGTTCTACTTTTTATCTAGTTCTAGTTTATTAACACTGTATAATTTTATCCCAGTTCTGGCTTCAATTGACTAACACTATAAAAATTTGTCCCACAAATTATCTCAGTTTTAATTTTGAGTTCTATTTGACTAACCCCACTTAAGTGTACAACTCTTTGTGTACTATTTTGGCACTACTACTCACAAAGGAGTGGGGACCTCACTTAAAAATTATAATGATGATTCATCATGACCCCCACTCTTTTGTGAGTGGTAATGCCAAAGTAGTAGAAAAAATATAGTACACTTATCACTACTCTAATTATATAGTTCATATTTAATAAATGGGTCAGGTTAAAATTGACCTGACCCATAAAAAATTTATCAACTAATGATCAAAAGCTACAAAGTTACCAGGAGTGCTTCGGCTACTACTAATATCAACACAAAAAAATAATTGGATCAGAAGTTAACCAAGTAAGAAAATCAAATTTTTTTAATCCCAAAATTGAAAAATAATCAACAATTGAACCCACTAATCGAAGAAAGATTCAAACTTTATGTAGGCAACAGTAACCAAATCAGCTAAGAACAAAACAGCAAATATCAAACGTATAGATTGAGCCTGATCCAACTCCAAGTGCTTGCTCAAAGAATCACATACTCATCAAAGCTAAATCGAGGGTGGTCATCGCTCCCGACCGTCGTCGACAGCACTGCCTTCGTCATCAGTGCTCTCGAGGTCCCTTTGTCGAGTAGTAGAGCTCCCTCGAACAAGTCGAAATCTCTGAAATTGATCACGGAGAAACTAGGGGTGGTAAATGGGTCCGGTCAGGTCAAGTGAGGTCATAATCAACCGAAACCATATAAGCTTGATCCGATCCGACCCATTTAATAAACGGGTCAATGCTACTCGCCCATTTATTCAACAGGTTGCCCGGCCTGACCCTTGTAACCCGAATAACCCGTTTATCATTACACATATCCGTTTATCACTAAAGTTATTGCATTCCTTTAAAAAATCCTCTACATTTCCCCTTTCCTACTCATGATCTTCGTCATCCAAGGCATGTAACAGTTGTCTCCAATGGGAGATAACATCATTTAACAAAAGAAGATCATCAATTGACATAAACTCATTACATCTTGACAGAAGCTCTTCCAGCCAACAAGATGGATATTGAATTGCAAATAACCCTAAAACAAATAAAAATTGTTGCAACAAAACAAAGTATGGATTGATCCCCAATTTAATTCAAAGTACAACCAATTAATTCAATTCATACTAGATAGCTTGATGTTTGATTCCAATTAGTGTTTAGGCATCAAATTATCTAATTAATGCAATGGGGATACAAAATTGACAAATTAGAACTTTAGGATGAAATTGAAATTCAAATAGAAACTTAAACAAAAGAAAATTGGAGCAAAAACAAGCAATGAACCAAATCCCAATTCAAATTCATACTATAATACTTGTCGTTTGAATATCCAAAGAGCTACAGAGACAGCCACCAAATACTCTGTTGTCGAGAAAGCTCTCACGCTCGCCGCTGCGGCTCCGCTCGCCGCTACCGCCTCCGCTCGCCGCCGCTATCCTCCCACTCAACGCCGCCCCCCGCACCCGCGCTATATCAAATCTGGGGCTTTTGGAGATGAGAGTCGAGGGTTTTTGGGGATGAGAGTCCAATGATTTCTCCCCCCACCCTCAGAGTTCCAAGTTCTTTCTAAGTTATGTCTGCTCCACCCATCTAGAACTAAATGGGTCAGTAGTAAATGGTTCAGTCTGGGTCACCCATAATTAGGGGTGTTAAATGAGTGGAATTGGGTATTAAATGGGCGTGCATGTTATACACATTTACCCATTTATGATTTATTTAATATTTTCTAAATAGGCGGGTTTTTGCCCGCCCATTTAACAAACGAGTCACCCATTTACCCATTTAACTATAATAGTTATGTATATTATACTTTTGGGGTGTTTTCTGTAAATTTTTAGGGGGCTTTTTGCAAACTTTTTGAACATTTTTTTTACAAACTTTTTGGGGTTTTTTACAAACTTTTTGGGGTTTTTTACAAACTTTTTGGGGTTTTTTGCAAATTTTTTTGTCCAAACTTTCTAGAGTTTTTTTTTTTTTTTTTTTGCCCAAATAGAATCCTTCGATAATTAAAAACTAGAAATAGAATTTTTATTCTACAAATGAGTCAAAAGAATTCTAATGGCAAATATACATATGATGTAATACACAATATATTAGGCTCTGTGTAACATATATGTTTACAGTAATGAACAAAAATGTAGAGTTTAATCTAAACTTCAAGAACTAAAACCAATAATTGCCACTCATGACCTGGTGCAAGGCTTGTGATAAAATACTAAGAAATACAACAATATATCACATGAGAACATGATACACATCACACTGACACAAACTTTGCATTACCATTGCTTGATTTAAGTTCATAAACAGCTTTAACTAACTTTGCTTCTGAATACAAAAGATGCTATCATAGTGCTAATAGATTGCGCTACATTTGCAGGTTATATATCCGGAAAAAAAAAAGTTAAAAACCAAGTAGTGTAATCAGTACTAATAGATTGTGATACACTGCTCAGCAGCTTCCACAAAGTCACCTTGTAAAAAAAGATAATCAACCATCTAACAACTGTACATTGTATTAATTTGTGAGCAAGTCTTCTACAAAAACTTTAAAAGATGCAAGTTTTCTATGGAGGAATTTAATCATAATCTAGAACTCCCACTAATTCACTAGTCAGAATTCACTACAACTTTCTGTAAAAAGCACAAAAGAAGCAAGCATTCGTTATGAAGTTCTATTTACATGTATTATTGGCAAATATATTACATGTTCTTTATTTATCATGTTAGTGAATATAGCACAATGTACTTAAGACTGTAATATACTTGGACGTGAATCGGGATTGAGACATGGAAGAGAAACAACAAGGCATGATGTTTTCCTATTACACATGATGAAGATTAAGTGTCCTTTTCTACTTTCTTCATGTTATTTTCCAGCTTTATATATGTTCTTTTGACATTGTGGGAGCTTATTGCTAAGTGCTATCGATCTACAACAGATTTAAAAGGTACACAAAACCATATATTGTCTTAATACAAGTACCCAACATAGCATGGCTTCAGTTCCAATTGTTGTGCTTTGCTATCTATTGGGAGTGGTTAGGCCTTGGTAATCTTAAAATTACTACTAATTGTTGGTAAAATTACTAATTCATATTCATGGATTCATATTGAACCATTCTAACTAGTAACTGTGCTCTTTCTTCTGTAGTCATGTCCAGAAACTCAAAAATAACCAATTTTTTAAAGAATGTCAATTGGGTTTTATATATAATAAAATAAAATCTATTTTATAAGAAAATGAAACAAACTTTAGGACTTTGAATCCAAGAGAAGGAGGTATACGTGACTGTGAGCTGGAGAAGTTGCAATATATGTCCTTTCGTTCCTCCAAGTCTTGGATTCCCGAGAAATTGAAAAAGGGCTTGAATGATCAAATACGAGCTGTAAATTTTAGGAAATTTAGGTTAAGTTTTATATAACAAAATAAAATCTATTTCATAACAAAAAGAAACAAACTTTAGGGCTTTGAATTCAAGAGAAAGGGATATAACAAATACAAATTTTGCTCACTTATTTCTCTCTATTGTGATTGTGTATATGTAGCAGTAATCCCTTACATAAGCATAATCTAGAGCAACCAAGTATATCATTTTATATTTTCAGTCATTTTCGGCAAGCCTATATTTCCCCAAAGCAAGTATTAACATAAAAAGGAACTCACTACCTTGGTAAGAGGAAATGAAGACAGAGAACAAAAATTTTAACCCTTTACATTCTCATAAAGAGTTTCGTTACAAACAAATGAACTATAAGATTCAACCTAAATTACAAACAATCATTAATGCACATTTACAAACATGCAAGTAGTCTAAAATCAATTTACATGCAAAGATAGGAACATTAAAAAAGATGAACAAACAAAGGCAGACAAGTTCATGACTGAACCATTTACAAGCTTGGATAAAAGTACAGACCTCACACATTTGCAAAATTAACCTCAGATTTCCAAACCAAATACCAAAAGAAAAAAAATGAAATTAACCTCAGATTTCCTAATCAAATCCATGATTGAAAATCTTACCTTAATCTCCCTCATCCATGGATTCTCAGTGAGAGATTCGAGCTTGTTGAGGAGACGAAACCACAAGACGAAGAGGCATGAGAAAGGAACGGTCAAGTTTTTAGGGGAAAAACCTAGATCCGAGATTACGATATGTGCATTTAGAATTTAGATAGAAAATTTTGACTGAATTTTATCGAAAGATTTGAGATTGGAATTCACCTGAGAGAAAGATTGTTATCGTAGGAAGTGGCGGCGACTTCAGCGGTGACTACAGCGGAAGAGGTGATGCCGGGGCGGAGGCGGCGTCGGAGGATCTGGGTTCGAGAGGCGGTTGAGGCGGCGGAGGAGGAGGCGGAGGAGAGGGGTTGGGGTCGGGATCAATGCCGATGAGGGCGGTTGAGGCGGCGGAGGAGGAGGCGGAGGAGAGGGGTTGGGGTCGGGATCAATGCCGATGAGGAGCTCAGCTCGCCCAGAGTGAGAAACAGAAGAGATTTAGGGGGAGGGGGGTTATTCATCGGTGTAAATTGGGTTAAATTGCTCCATTTTGATATAATTTGAGTGGGATATAGTGGGGTAAAATGTGATAAAAGGATAATTTGAATGGAACAATTGTTATGACATTTTTTTATAATATGATATTATAAATAAGTTCAAGTTTAACTTGATATAACATCAAATGATTAAATAAATAATAGTTATAATATACAATAATATTATTTTTAAGATTATTTTAATATAAAATATTAATAATAATATTAATATTAATCAATCTTTGAATATTTTAATGTTTATTTTAACTATTATGTTATATTAATAAAATTTTCAATTGCAATAATTATTTAGTCATTCCTACATCTATTACAATGATGATAAAGTCTCAATTATTACAAATAAAGTCTTTAGTCGGTAACTTAAATCTTAATTATTACAAATATAATCTACCGACATATAACTTTGCTCTAGACTCCTTAGGCCACGTTTGTCCCATCCTCCCACATTGTGTTTGCCATTTGTTCTCTCCAACGTGATGCAGCTGTCCGCTGTGCTTGTTGAGTTTGTAGGTCATCGTCCTCATCAGAATCACCATCAATCAGAGCAACATTGCGTGGTGCCTCTGGAGGAAGATCAGAAACTTTAAAGTCATCGTTAGAGTTCTCCATCTTTAGAAAATTATGCAGAGTGATACAGCCCAGATCATACTTTTTTGAGTCTTATATGGAAAACCTGGAGGTTGAGACTTAAAAATAGTAAACCTAGACTTGAAAATGCCAAAAATATGTTCAATACAATTTCTAAGAGATGCATAGCGATGGTTGAATAACTCATGAGCATTGTGTGGTCGCTGACGATTGTTATATATATGCCAAGGAGTGGCCATGGGAAGTTAACGAAGGTGGAGGATGACAGTAAGGCAGTGAGATGTTAAGACAGTTGTTGTAAACAACAATGATACATTGAGACCTTTCGACAATGATAGGAGACAAAGACGAGGCCATAGAGTAGAAAAAGACGAGGCCATAGGACTACTGGAAGACGATGGCGGATGAACTAAATGGCACTAGGATCAATTATACTAATATTTGAGGTGAAAAAATATATTACCTGCTTTGAGATTAAAATAATGCATGTTGTGGCAAAATCGCTATAAAATATGTTATTGCGGGTGATTTCCATTGCATGTTATGAATCTCCTTATGCTTCCAGAATGAATCGAAGTAAATTCTTATGTTAGTTTCATTATATAATAGAGTTTTACTAATTGAATGCTAAAATACCATTTGAGATTACATAGTAGTGTATTTTGCAAGTCTAGAACACATCGTCAAACTCTAAAAGCAAAATAAGTAAAGTGCTTTTTTTTAGTGCATATCTAAATGCTTTATTTTTTTGGTTCTTTGCTCATTTTAATTCGTATTACATGTTTTCATTTTTTTTATGTCTTAATCTTTTGTGATGAATATTGGATGACTGTCCCTTGGCCATCTGAAAAAGTGAGCAAGTTCAATTGTTGTGTGGAGGGTAATTTCTTATTTACTCTTTTTAATTATTAATATTAATATAATTGGTTATAGATTAATATTTAAAATATTTATTAAAATAACTATATCAATGAAAGTATTTTTTGGCATATATCTAATATTAAATATTAATTTAATAATTTACAAAATATGGTCATTATAGTATGATACTTAAGATATTTATTAAAATAATAATTTTTTAAGAAGAATATTACACTACACCAAAACATAAATACATTATATTATTAGTACATTGATTCAATATCTATATATTATTCTTTTAGTTATTTTTAATATAACTATATACCACGTGCAACGCACATGCACTATACTAGTCTAGTAAAAGAGAGAGTCCATGATGACCCATTTATAACCCGATCCATATAATCTTAACTCCATCTATTATAAACGAATCGGATCGGGTTGGATTGGTGGGTCGGTAATAAATTGGCACATCTAGGAGAAACCCTAGAAAAAACAAGGGAATGAATTGGGTTAGCTACTGATCCGTTTAACCATAAACCGATCATAAAATGGTTTAGACGATTAGTTTTAGATTAGACCCGAAATAACCCAACTAATGAACGGTTTGGTCGGATCTACCAGTACACAACACAAACACATATATCATGACCCATACGCATTAATAATGTAGCTAGTTTGAGAGGGGAGGCAATGTGAGTCCTTAGAAAATACGTGGACCCTAATATTAGTGGTGGCAATTTATGGCCCGATCCGCTAATCCGACCTAACCCGACCCAATATAAATGGGTATATGTCACTATTTGGGTCGGATCATAAACGGGTTGACCCAAAAAACCCAATTATTAATAGGACAATAAACGGATCAACCCGTCGATCGGTTTAACTTTAACTTGTTTATAATTCAACCCTTAACATTCAAATTTTATAAAAACAAACCCACAAATATCAATACATATGAACACTATAAAAACCAGAAATTACATACAATATTATGAAAATTTTTTAATTTGCATAAAACACGCTTTGCGATTCAAAAATTAAAAAACATCCTCAAAAGCTCAAAATATACCAAAAACCATGAAAATATAAAAACTTACAAGACAGTACAAAAATCTATAAATTACAAATAACATATTAAAAAATTTTAAATTTGTAAAAAACACAATACAAGTTTCAAACACTGTAAAATATATCCTCAAAAAGTCAAAATTATGAAAACATGGCCGAGAAATATCAAAACCTACAAACAACACGAAATCTAAAACTTATAAACAACACAAATGAAAATATTGAAATTTGTAAAAAACACCCCGATAGATTTTAAAGTTGTAAAAACGCCCTAAATAAGTCAAATTTGACAAAACACACCATTGAAAAATCAAAATCTACAAATAACTACACAATCTATAACTTATAAATAGCCATGCGAATTTTATAATTTGCAAGAAACAGCCTAATAGTTTCAAAAGTTGTAAAAACACCCAAAAAAGTAAACATTTTAAAAAACTAAAAAATTGAAATTTATCAAGAGTGAAAATTTTATAATTTTTAAATTCCAAAAACCCACTGAAAAGTTTTTAGTTTTGCAAAAAACACCGTAAATGTTTGAAAAATTGCAAAATACATGCTCAAAAGTCAAACTTTACAGCAACATTCCCCAAAAATATTAGAACTTACAAAAAGTACAAAATCTGTAAGTTATAAGTAGCACCATTAAAATTTTAAAATTTGCAAAAAAACACCCTAAAAGTTAAGTAAATTGTAAAATACAACCTTAAAAGTCAAACTATTATAGAAACATGTCTTAGAAACAATAAAATTTATATAAAAGTACAAAATCTATAAGTTACAAACAACAACGTAAAAATTTTGAAATTTGCAACGAACACCCTAAATGTTTCAATTTGCAAGATACACCATAAAAGCTATATTTTACAATAACGCGCGCTAGAAATATGAAAACTTACAAAAACTATAAAATTTATAGCTTATAAACAGTAACATAAAAATTTTGGTATTTGCAAAAAGAACCTAAAAGCTTCAAAAACTATAAGAAATACCCCCAAAAATCCAAATTAAAAAATAACTAAATAATCAAAACTTGCAATGGGTAAACTTTATAAATTAGAAAGGTCAACTAAGAAAATGATAGTTGTGGAAAACACCCTAGAACTTTTAAAATTTATAAAAAACGTTCAAAAAATTTAAATTTTATAAAAAACAAATATCTAGACTTATGAATAGTAACAAAACCTATAAATGATAAATAGGACCATAAAACTTTAAACATAGATTCTATGTTAATGTAAGGACCATGAATTTTCGATACTAGTTAAAATAATTTTCTGGTATTTTAAAATATTCAATTATTATTTTAAAAGAGTATTTGTATTTTTCTTGGTTTTCTACAATTTTCTATAATTTAAAATCCAAGTTTTATATTTATTTAAATAATTTTAATATTTATAAATTAATTTCGTGCGATGAAAATTTTTGGAATTAATTTGTTGTGATCTTATATATACTATACTATATATATATATATATATATATATACTTTTATATATATATATATATTATATATTTATATATATATATACTTATATATATATATATATATATATATGTTTTTATTATCTGCTCTCCTTTTTATTCTCCTTCTTCATGAAACGTCGCCGCCTCTTTTCTGTTCTCACCGCCGCACCCGACTGCCGACCCGCGCTCTCCGCACCATAGCCCAATGCCCTCAACCACCACCGCCCGCCGAGACTCCCGCCGGCTAACCTGCCTTCTTCCTCCATTCATCATCGCAGCTCGACCAGGCAGATCCAACGTCTGCCTCAGCCTAGCTCCCCCGCCTCGGCCAACTGCGTCAGCCTTGAGCCGTCACTGTTAAGTCCCGGTCGCCTCCCCCTACGCCGCCGGTTGGCCTTCCCCAACCACGCCACACCACCCGCCTCAAACAGCACGTTTACCCACCTCCAGTTCCGCCGGCCCCTCTCGCCGCTCACCCTCCGACAAAACGCCAAACCCCGCTACTCCTCCCTCAGATCTGCATGCAGCCCTCATCGCCAGTTACTCGACACGAACGTCCGCCGTTGCCGCCTTCCCTGACGCCCGTCTAGTCGACGTTCTGCGTGCCTTCCAACTCATTCAACCGCCCTTCTCCCGCGCCCATCAAGCTCCGTCGGACCACGTCCATCACATTTCAACTCCTGCCTCAACTCTCCACCCGAATCCCGCCCACCTCCGTTCCGCTGCCCCTTGCCGCTAGCTTCCTCTGCGCCCGACCGCCGACTCCTCCTGGACCACAGCCCCACAAGCTCTCCACCATCTCTTTCCCTCGCCCGACACCCCTGAACCGCTCTCCGCGACCACCTCC